ATTTATCTTTTCTCTTCTCTAAAAAAAAACAAAATTTATTTTAGTTCATCACCAAAAAGTCCTAAAAGTCCTGTACAAACGGATCGAAATGTTGCCGATTGGATGTTATATTGGTCATCACGTATTGAAGCTGAACCACCAAAGTAAAGAAAAAAAAATTAAAGTTTTTTCATTTTTTTTTTTTTTATTTCTTAAAAACAAAAAAAATTTTTTTTTTCTTGTTTAAAGAGAATGGAAATTGGCTCATCCAATAAATCGAAGTGTACGTGATCAATTACTTTTTGAAGATGAAGAAGAAAAAGCAGCTAAAGAAGCTGAAAAGGCATTAGTTGAAAAAAAACGTATGCGTTATCTTATTTTAAGTAATTGTGCTAGTTTTATTCTTGGCATGGGAATGTAAGTTCAATTAGAAATTATAAAAGAATCAAAAAAAGAAAACAATTTTTTTTTTCTTTTTAAGAATGTATTTATGTTTACGTCGTTATCTACGTATGAAAACGCCTTATTTTTATGCATTAGACTAAACAATTAACAAACATATTACTTTGTACATAAAAACATTTATTGAATTGATACATACATATACAAAAAAAAAAAAAAAGAAACAAGTTTTCTCTTTTTGCTTTTATGTTTGTCAACTACAGTTTTCTTTTTTTTTTTTATTTGAAAATAATTACAACATTTCTGTACATATATATTTATATATATCTATATATCGAGTCATGAACTCACCAAACATATTTACATTTATATGAACATTCCTCATGTTTCTCCTTCCTTTCTTTTTCTTCTTTGGTTATTACAGCAACTAATTGTTTTTCTTTCGATGTTTTGTTTATTTATTGTTTTACATCAACGAGTTTATCTACATGGGAGACATATATATTGATGGGAATTTAATAGTATCGTGTTGGGAGGCTATCAAGTTAGATGTAGTAGATCGTTATAGAAAAGTGTCATTCATATATATGTACTATATTTGGTGTATATAATGATTTTTTCTTCGTTGTCTTTATTACTTTTAAGAATGCATGAAAATATCTCTAACACACGCATATACAAGTTTTTTGTTTTTTCTTTTCTTTTCTTTTTTTTTTTTTATTATTATTCATTATTGATATTATAAATAAACATATTCATTGCTGAGATGAACATTTTTATTGAATTGATTTTAAAGTTTAGAAATATTGATGATCATAGTCACAGAAGAATTGAAGATTTTGTTATAGACAAATGACAATATTTGACATGTTACATAATAAGTACAACCTTCTATATATTAAACTTTTGTTTACATCATTGATTTTAAACTATAAATGTTTGACAATGAACAAATGTTTATCGAAGTAGCATCATTTATCTTAAAAGAATAATATCAACCAAGTATTTTATTATAAAAATTTGACTTACTTAATTCATATATATAGATTGATCAATCTTTACAAGGCATTAATGGTTGTGATGCCATTGCATGAGCCATGTGTGATGTGTTATTATTCTTTGACCTTTTATTACAAGGTTACACCATATGTAAAGTTTTCTGTCACATAAAAATTTGAAAGAATATTAGAGTGTATTTTTCTACGTCGGAAATAGGTTTTCACAACTTCACTAACTCTTAGAGCTTTTTAAATAATAACATTTTCAGAAAACTTCAAGAGGTTCTTAAAAGAAAACGCAGACTACTTCTGTAAATCGAAAAGCTTGATGGTTGCCAAAAATGTTACTATCTGAAAAGTTAAGAGAGTTATTGAAATCTGTTGACACTTTAAAAAAATTCTGACACACTTTCGAGATGATCTCGAAAACTTTTCCAACATAAAAATGTCCAGAAACCGTGTTTCAAGGTTTCTCACAATACTGAATTTACTTTTAGAGTGAAGTCTTCTAGAAAATAGTGAATTATTTTTTAATTAGTTTTATGTGTTAAATATATAGAAAAAGTAATGCTATAATTAGCATTATTCCTTTTTTCCTTTGACAATCGTTATCCTGCATTAGCGAAGAACCGTCATCTCATGATGATTTGAGAGGAAACTCTTTTTTGCGCTTATTTACGCTGAACACGCTTCTGATTGATATCTGAATATATATATAAGATAAAGAATAACAAGAATGATTTTATTCTTTGAGCAGTAAGATTCTAGTTAAAGAAAGGCAGATTCTTCATTTATATTTTTTCCTTAAAATGAATGATTGCCGATGTTATCTTTCTAATTAGCTTCATTGAGATTATATTTCCTTGAAGATAAATTTATGTATATTTCTTAGTAGAAACTTTCTTTTATGCAACACACATGCAACTCTAATCATCAAAAAAATAAGCCATGTATAATTAGAGCCGATTCCAAAAGATTTCTCTGTAAAATCATATTTTATTTCACGATTGAAATGTTTTCTAATGGAATGATTAATTTGTCAAGTTCGATTTCCACCTATAATTTATTTCTATATATAAAACTCTCTCTTTGCAACACTGCAACAAGTCACATATAGGGCAATATAGTAGGAAAGAAAATCCAAACTATGAAAAAATCCATAGATTATGAAGAAGGAAAAGAAGTCTTATCGATGATGAATAATAACATGAGAACTTCATCACACATACATGACAGGAAACGAGAATTCATGAGACATGCCTAACAACAAAAGAAAAGAAGACAAGCTTAAGTGCATGCTGATAATCATATAGATAATGAGGAAAACTCTTATGAATTCATTAGAAATGCAGATCGTAACATTGCTTTCTTTTTATTCTAATAGTTTCTTTTTTTATTACGAAATTCAACGTTATTGACACGGAAGTAAAACATGAATGAAAAGGGATCTTTACTTTAGAAAAAAATCCACTAAAAGTTTTCATTTTCAAACGAACAAATTATAGAAACAACATAATCATTTGTTTCAGTTTTAAGTCGAAACAAAAACAGAGTTTTAAATGATTTGTAGAAAGAACAAGAATCGATAAGAACAATGTTCTTTTCAAAATTTTTTCTAAAACAAACTCATCAAGATAATAAGTCAACCATGGATTATAATCACGGGCATATGTATTGATCTTAGTTCGACATTAAGACTTATTGCACCGCAACCTCTTGACAATGTATCTGAAATTCCTTTTCTTTTTGTTTGGATCAAACACATGTCAAAATATATGTATCAGAGCTCTAATCACCAATGTCATCTAAGGATTTGTGTTAACGATTTTAGAAAATAAGAAAATGAAATATGTGATATTTGAGCTGTAAACGAAAAACAAACGAACTTCACTGTTTGTTTATTCAAGTCATTTTTACTTCAATACAATGTTCTAGGTTTTTCACAAAATATTTTATTTTGATAATCAAGTGTTCTCTATCTAATGAAATACTATATGTGTCAGTTAACATGTAGGAAGATCGACAGCATACGAAAAATGTAAAAAGATAATTTAAAGAAATATAACTTCTCATTACGTAATGATAATTTTACCGCCAAAGAATAGATTTTTCTTCTTCTTAAAGAACATATTTGAATACAGAATGAAAACCTGGATCTGCTAGTATCGCTGTTAGAGGATAACCAGGTGAAAAGGTGAAGTAATGCAACTTCCAAAGAAACCACAGAAATCCATTAGCTAGGATTTTCGCCTGTAGTTCAGTTCTATGAGTTGTTTCATATATAGAGAGGTCTTAATTGCTACATCATTAGATTAAGAATATTTAAGTACCAATATGAATTTTTTTTCAACTATCTAGAACATTATATAAGACCGATAGTTGATCAAACACAAAGAATAACGTGCTTATTCACTAAGAGCTTAATTTCTGAAAAATTTTCTTTGTTCATTTGTCGAAATCATTTACACAAAAAACTAAGATGATATTCATAATAAACACCATTAAATCTATATTTTAACGTGTATTCGACTCAACATGAAGAGGAAAGGAATTCTACAGGACGTTACAAAAGTCTGATGTAAGAGTAAATTCGTAGAACTTCTTTATGTATTAGAGAAAGTTTATTTCATATGATAATCATAAGCGCGAAGTTTTTATTGACACAGATCAATTTTACATATAATATTGCAAGATATCACTGTTGACTGAAACATAGAAAGTCAGTTTTTTTGAGTTTCATCAAAGATAAAACCTTCGTATCGTTTAGTGTTGGATCATATCAAGTTTTGCGACGTGTTACTGAATATTATTACAGGATCTCTTTTTATGAGGATATCTCAAGAAAATATCCGTAAAACGACATTGGGCAATTACAAAATGAAAGATATTTCAAATTTTTAAATGATCAATCAAGTGAATGATACGCAACTTTTTGATGAAACTTGAAAGACCTATTTGCTGTATTTCTGTCAAAAGTAATATCTTTCAACATTATGCATAAAATCGATCTGTATCAATAACAATTTCGCACTCATATGTATCATATGAAATCAAATTAGTTTATTAGGTTTGATGAAGAAAGAAGTTATACGAATTCATTTTCACGACAGACTTTTTGGGTAACCTGGAGATGTGCACTATTGAGAGAACAAGTTGTAAAGACTCTTGATGCTAAAGTCAGGTGAATAAATGAGCCTATTTTGCAATTCATGGTTGGTTTGTTATTTTGACGAGTTTTTCTTTCGAAAGCGTTTTCGAGAGGGAAATGCATCTATTAACTCTTGTTCTCTTTGCAAGAAATTTTAAGTAAGCAAACATTGAAGAAAATTTCAAACATTTTTTGAAAATTAGTAAAAAGTTCCATAGTTTTCCGAGCTTTTCATAGTTTTCGTAGATATAAATATGCACTTTGAATACAAACATGTTTCAGAATAAATAGAATTTTAGCAATTCTAAAATTTCTCTATTCTCTCTATTCATAATTTAATATGGTAATATTTTTCGAAATTTGATTATATTATTTTGTTATTTTATTTCAGCACTATGTGAGACATCAGAGTTTTTTTTTCAAATGGCAGCAAAGTTTCGGTACAACAAAAAAAAGAAGAAAAAGCTTCATTGTTAATAATAACGATGACCATGATTAGAGGCGACATAGCTATTTGTAGGATAAATCTGACCATGTCGATTATATACCATTGAAGGATAACCGAATACTGCAGGATAACCTGGGACAACATCTGGTCGACGACCAAGATAACCATCACCATTAATATCTAGGCCCATCATGCGTTCCATCATAGCTAAATAGCCTTAAACAAAAAACAGAAAGACCAAATTAGTAAAGAAAAACTATAGAAATATGTATTATATATCTCTATTTACCTTGTCCACCAATGTATCCATCACCATTTAAATCCATACCAAGACGATGTTCAAGGGCATTAACAATGTATCCTATTCCGGAAAGAAAAGAGTTCATTTTGCTTTTTTTGAACAATTCATTAAAAGTATACGTTTCCTAATAGCTTACTATCCATTTTGCTGGGCTTGTTTATTTGTATTGCAAAAAGTTATTACTCGAAACTTCCGAGTCGCCAATGATAAAATGAGTGCGATACTCATCTTTTACACTGTTACTTTTTATTAATAAATCATAAAAACATAACTCTTTTTTCATGCTTCATTAGTTTTATGTTCCTACAGGCATCAACATACTCAATTAAAATAACGAATACTTTATTTTTATGCGTAGTAAGGAATTGACAAGAAACACCTAACTGCCACATTAATGTCGTTGTCAATTTGAGAGTACGAGCCGACAATTTCGAAGCCATCAATAACTCAAACATGTACGTCTCAAAACAGAAAAAAGCTTTTTTTTCTTCTTTCTTAGAAATTTTTTATCTATACTCTGCAATGAGAACATTTTGGCTACGTTTCATGTATTTGTGTTATGGAGTGACTTCAATAATCAATATTACTTTATTGACCATTTTCATAATAGAAAGATAAGATAAAAAGTATGAATATCGGCACATTCCGATTTATTGTTTACTTTGATTATCTAATCTTTCTCTGATATATTAGTCTTATTAGAGATCGCTTGAAAATCACGTAAATACTTGTTTGAGATCCCTTCCATCCTAAAATGCCAAGTTTTATTTCAAATCGGTTATTTTCATTATTCACATGCATATTTCAAATACCAAAATTTTCAGCATAAAAAATTAAATCAATTGTGTGCATTTTTTTCGTTTGTTTATCTAAAATTTTCAATTGTTAATAAATCTCCAGGTCGAGAAATACGGGTTGGTTCCCACAGGAAAACACCGGAAATCGACGGAACATGGAAGCAGTATTCTGGTGAACGGATCCGACGATCGAATTTATTCGGTTTCGGGCGGAACCGGCAGGAACTTGGCAAAACCGGCAGCCGGATATGGTCACCGGATTTCTACGTCGAATTCCTGATATTTTCTCGCGGAGGGTCGAATTGCTTGAGGGGGTGGGTGTGAGTGTGGGTGTGTGGGTGTGGGTGTAGGTGTGGTTGTAACTATATGATAGATCAACATTTACCCACACCCCAGTTCATCGGTGCAGCTATCCCCAGTAAAATTTTGGCGGGAAATAGCTCTGAAATAACGGAGATCCAAGATTCGCATTGAAAACTTTTACCAAGCAGAAAGTCCTAGTTTTCAGTCTGGAATCGATAACTCAAGCTAGAATCGATCAATGCCGCTGAAACTTTTAATAACAACTCATCATCGATCCACAAGTTTATAATAAAATTTTCAGCGCTTTAGCTTTATGTAGAACTGAGATAGGGCTGTCGGAAGAGTTCATCACGCTACAGCTTCTCCATCAATGGAGACACGGTATTATGAGGCGAGCTTTGGAACCAAGCAACTAGATGTGTTGAGCCACAACTAGCACTAAAAAGATCAAAAATAAATTTTCGGAGGACGAAACTACGAACGAAAGTTTGTGAGATGGCATTTTCCCTCGATTTCTTCCATAAACCACCAGCAGTGTATCTATGCCCGTGAAACTGTGAAATAGTAATGAATTCACGCTCATCTTTACAGAAATAGGCGTTTTTGGCCAGAAAAATCCAGAGAATATGTACACGAGGCTAATTCAATGAAGCAGAAACTCTGTGAAGTCAGCAAAATTGTTTTGAAGTGAAACTCTTCCTAATATAGAAGTGTATCGCGCACAGATACACTGCTGGTGGTTTATGGAAGAAATCGAGGGAAAATGCCATCTCAAAAAATTTCGTTCGTAGTTTCGTCCTCCGAAAATTTATTTTTGATTTTTTTAGTGCTAGTTGTGGCTCAACACATCTAGTTGCTTGGTTCCAAAGCTCGCCTCATAATACCGTGTCTCCATTGATGGAGAAGCTGTAGCGTGGTGAACTCTTCCGACAGCTCTATCTCAGCTCTACATAGAGCTAAAGCGCTGAAAATTTTATTATAAACTTGTGGATCGATGATGAGTTGTTATTAAAAGTTTCAGCGGCATTGATCGATTCTAGCTTGAGTTATAGATTCCAGACTGAAAACTAGGACTTTCTGCTTGGTAAAAGTTTTCAATGCGAATCTTGGATCTCCGTTATTTCAGAGCTCTTTCCCACCAAAATTTTACTGGAGATAGCTGCACCGATGAGCTTTTGAATGAAGGATTTCACGAAAGTAAATGTCGAATAATGATCGAGATATGACCTTGACAGGGTGACGAAAATGTACGAGTGATATTTTCACCAAATATCAACTGAGTGAGGATAGGGTGATGCTTGCGATCAGGGTTCAATGAGACCAACATGCACACAAAATATAAGTTCAAAATGATGAAATATAACACTCCTTCAGGGAGGGTACCTACTTTTGTCCACGACTGTACATTCATCAAAAATAATATCATTAGAATTTATGAATAAACTGACATTTTTAATAAGATATTCATCGCGAAATTGATTTTTTTGCTTCGTAGAATATTTTTCAATATTTTTGGTTAGTCGATTCATTGTTTTTCTTAATTTGTTTTTATTCAGTAGTTTATGTGCATCGTTAAGACAATCAGAGAGAGAGTTGGGTGGTTTCAAAAATTACTCGGAACCAAAACCACAATTTCGGTTATGAAATATACAAAAAAACGTTGAGGTTAAAAGCGCTACATATTTCAGTACTTAACTAAAACAATACTAGATATAAATACTGAAATCTTTAATCTCAAGAAGGAAAAAATGAAGATTTCTTGACATAGATTTAAGAATTTTTATATCTATCTAATGATTTAACAGCTTCGATTCGATTCTCAGTTCTAGTTTTTTGCTAATAACATGATTTTTGAATGACTTCTTAATTCGTATGATTCATATAAATAAGAGCAACAATGAACTAATGCTACAGAAATGGAAATATAGCTTATTCAGATAGGAAAATATTGAAGGTCAACGTTGTTATTCATTATATTTCTCTCTCTTATCAAAATAAGATTTATTTCAAGTAATGTACAACTTTATTATAACAGTTACGACTTAAAATTAACAGTATCCATTCGAAATTAGTTTCGATGTACGTGAATCAATAAATTTCACTATACAGAATTCTTTCATGCATCATACTGCTGCATATATATAAAGATCAAACTATGACTCAATAAAAACATATCTTAAATACATTTTGCTTATTTTTAAAGTTGTGTTATTCTTAAAACAAGGCTTTTCTTTTAGTTGTAGAAATGTGTAACAATTAATCGAATCACTTCTTTGTTATTAGTTAATCATAATGCTATGAAGTACTTTTAAACAAATCGAAACATTCAAAATACAATATACGGTTAAATTATTTTGCATATTGGGAAGGAAAAAAAGTTCGACACAAAAAAAAACATATTATATATGATCTCAATCAACTACTACTTCGAGCAATGTTCTATTTTAATCTAATAGTAATTTAACATATTGCTCCTATTTATATTACTCTGTCACGTGCAAAAATTTTATCTAGAGAACAACTCTTAGTCAGATGCTTGAGAAATGAATGGCATTAGTTTTTATAACGAAAATTATTCATTTATATAGGTTTCTTTATGATACAAATCGAAAACTTGTTAAGAGATATCGAAAATGTCGTTGTTTTTCAGAGATTCGTATTTCTACGGAGTAAAGACTACTTTCCAACTTAAAAATATCGCATTTTGAATAGTAAAAATGATAATGATTTATTTTGATATTCATTACTTCCATTTTGGTTCTTTTTGACATAACATCATAGACAAATCGGAAGTTTTTAACTGTGACAATAATAAATATGGCGTATGTATGAATCAGCACCTACATTTTATGACGGGTTGATATTCAACAACGTATAAGTCCAACTAAAAAATTTCATCGTTTTGATAGTTGTTAGGTCAAAAATATGCGAGAAACAAAAAGGAAACAGAGATTAATTATATGGCATTGCAATGAAGTTGATGAGAATATTGGTTTTAGTAAATAAAATCGAAATACAGTATAATAAATGTCCATGTTATCATAAAAAATATTATTATTGCGCATTTGTTGAGGCCTTGAACTGGTATAATAGTAAAAAAAGAAGAATATTATATACAACTAATTTACAAACACAAAAATTAACAATAAATTATAATTGAATAACACTATCAACAACTTATTCCCAAAATCAATAGTTATTTCTTGAGTAGTTTATATTACCAATATGTTCGAATATAGATTTGACTTTAATTCAAAGAGTAATGAATATATTTATAATCTACTGGAATATGTTCCGAAATAACAACGTATATAAACGTATGCACAAGTACCTTGTTTCATTGACAGAATTTTTTTCTGAACAATTTCAAAATTTTTATTGAAGACATCTCAACTTGAAGAAAAAGAAAAAAGCTAAGCAGTGCTGACTTTATTCAACATTTTTGAAATGAATGTTACTATCAGTATTAAGGTCAGAAAAAAGTTGGTGTAGGTATTGAACTTTTCTACTTCTATACAGACCCAGATTGAATGACTTACATCGCCGACTTAATTCAAATATTGTTATTGCTGATCCAAATTTATATGTAATGATTGATGAATTAAAAAGAGCATGTACGTTCTAAACTGCTACGATGAAACAACTTGACAATGATATGAACAAACTTTAAAGAAATTAAGAAAAATTGTATTTCAAAATTAAAGAATTCTTGATCTAATAAAACGATATGAGAAAGGTTGTTTGTCATTAAATGAATATTTTAGTACGATTGGTAATAAAACTGGATTCATTTTTTGTTGCTATTATCTTATGAACTATTGAATTTCTTCAATTCAAAAACTATTGAGACATTTTCTGTATTGAAATGAAACTAAAATAAAAAACGAAAATAATTAAACACTTAAATAAAACCATGTCAGATTAACTGGCAGTTGCTCTCACTTCACAAAGACTGTTGAATGACTTTGATGATTATTAATTGTTA